TAAGAAAAATGAAGAAAAGAATTTTAGCAAGTTTTATTCCTTCTATTACAACTGTTTCAGAGCAGGAAGTTTCCACATTGTGTTTGAAGGCTTCTTCTGTCAAGCTTCTAAAACATGTTTGCTTTTCTTCCAACCAGTGAGAGTTAAAACTGATCCAGAATTGCTGGCATCTGGGAATGAGAAGACCATTTCGATCAACATAAACCAATGATTTTTAGGGAATTTTATTTGCAAAAAATGTCTTTGTGTTCCATGGGGTTTTATATTTTTTGATATTATTCCTTCTGGGTACCAAAGAAGCCTTGAAATCCTTCAGTTCCCTACAACAAGGGAGTGAATAGCTAAGTCCTGCAGTCCCACCTTGCTTTTGGCACTAACCCTTCCGGATGCCTCCGCAGGATCTGGAAGACGTGCTGAAGAGCGAGCTGAGCGGGGACTTCGAGAAGAGCGTGCTGGCCCTGCTGGATCGGCCCTGCGAGTACGATGCCCGCGCGCTGCGCAAGGCCATGAAGGGCGCGGGCACGGACGAGGCGCTGCTCATCGAGGTCCTGTGCACGCAGAGCAACAAGGTTGGACACGCGGACGGTCGCGCGAGGCTGTGTCAGCAGCAGGAGCGGGGATCGGAGACACTGGGAGACACGAGTGTGCTGTCCCCTTGCTGCTCTGCTTGCTTGTTTACTTATATATATTTTAATATACTTATTACTTTTTGTTTGTTTTTGGTTCCTTTGCCTAGCAAATCATATGCATAAAGGAGGCGTACAAAAGGCGTAAGTAAGATTTTCTTTCACACACCTTCCCATAAAGCCGTGAGCACCGAGCGAGCCCTTATGGCACCTTTCGGCAGTCTTTGACAGGGACCTGGAGTCTGACGTTAAAAGCGACACGAGTGGCTCCCTAAAGAAGATATTGGTCACTGTGCTGGAGGTAAGGCTGGGACGTCCTTATGTACCATGCCTGACAGAGGCACTGGGTAATGCTGATGAGTATTAGTTGGTAAGTCTAGTAATAACAGGATAGTTACAACGAGCATCAGGCTTTCATCAGAATAAGAACCTTCTGTGTGTACAGCTCTTTAATATAACTAAAAGGGTTAGATAAAATCACAGGTAATTTTACAAATTCTAGTACCTTGAAGACAACAGGTGGTTGCTTTATTATTATTTATGCAGTGGCAATGGCTGGAATATCTACTCAAGGTCAGGGCCACCTTGTGCTAATTTCTGCCTAAACCCAGCAAAACACCATTTCTGTTTCAGCTGAGAACTCTGCAACACAATTAAATAAGGAAAAGTGATAGGATCTTGTTTTCCCATTCACAAAGAACAAGCATATTTTGGGTTAGAACTTACTTTATTTCACATCCGCTTGAAAAAAAGGATGTGACAAAAATCAGCTTCTCTGTAGGAACACTGTAAGAAGAAGCAAGAAGAGTAGGAAGGTGAGGGGCAATCGGTGTGGTAGACAGTCACAACAGGCAGTCCTTGGGATGAAAACAAATCCATCCATACAAGAAATTTTAGGAGCATGACAGTCGCATCTCTGAATGCTGGTTCCCATTGAGGAGAGCAGGGTGTCGCACAGCTCCAAACAGCCTCTCAGGGGGTATCTTCAGGAGGGACAGACACTAGGTTTATATGTGGGGAAGCTCTTCATGGTTTCGACCAGGAATTACAGCTTTAGCAAACACCCAGGGCATACAGATTAGTGAGGAAAGTACGGAGGGGCATTGTGCTGCTCGCAGGGCCAAGCTGGTGCCCTAAAAAGTGACAGCACTTCCAGCCTGGGGAACGTTTTCTCTATAGCTGAATGATGGATGTGGCAGCAAATTTCCTAAAAAATCGTCCTGGTGGTGCCCCATGTGCATGGACCTGAGGGATAGACCTGTCCTTTGGCTGCACTTCCGAAGTCAGCAAGTGCCGGTGATGTCGCCAAGCAGATCCTTCTGCCCCATACTGCTGAGCTCCAACCCGCCCAACTGCTACCCAGTTGTCAGCAGATGGCAGCAAAACTATAACTAAAGGGGTTGCGAGGGCTCAGAGCCCTTGACAAACTTCCCTTCCGCTGCAAACACTAGCTGGCACTTGGGCTTTTTCTTCCTCTTTTTTTTTTTTTTTTTTTATGTAATGTCCTTTTCTGTAGGCAAACCGAGATGAGGCCCAAGAGGTCAATGCAGAGCTGGCCGGGCAGGATGCCAGAGAGCTGTACGAGGTAAGTGCCATTGCGGGGATAAAAACCACCACCCGGCTCCCTGCGGCTCCGTGCGGCTCCATGGTGGCCACGCGGTGTGGCAGGGGGCACGTGCTGGAGCTCGGCAAGCCCCGCGCTCCGCCTGCCTTCTTGTTTCCCCCGCGGGGAAAGAAGCGCTCTGAAAAAACTCGTGCAATCTTCAAGGCAGGGGAAGGCCGCTGGGGAACGGACGAGCTGGCTTTCAACGTGGTCTTAGCAAAGAGGAGCTATCCGCAGCTGAGAGCTACTTTTGAGGCCTATGAAAAGGTGAGTTACGCTCTTCACCCAGCAGGGCCCAGCACGTAGTAGGCAGGCCCCACAACTGTATGTAGAGCTGGCGATTTTTTATTTCTTATTTTGAAAAGTGTTTGGTGCTCTAAGTTTCTTGGAGAATGTTTCTATAGGACTGTGTCCTGATCTTATGGAAATAGGATCTAAAAGCTGCATCTTCTGCCAGTAAAGAACTTGTTTTCTCTTATAGCCTACACAATATCCAGCCAAGGAAACATCATGATGCCCTTTTCTTTCCACAACTGCACCGAGAGGTGTGTCCTCACTTCTGCAGGAGGACCAGCGAAGGGACAACTTCACAATTTACTGCCCTGAAGCAGAGTTTTGCCCCTCTCTTCTCTTGTTCTCCCAGGCAGAGCCTGACTAGGTGTCTTATCCTGATCCTCCTGCTTCAGGAGAAGCACCCTCGTATATATGTAGCAGCTGCTTAAGCTATCCTCTTCCAACCCAACATCCTGCATCGGGCCCTTGTTGTCCACACACCAGACCAAAGCAGCTCCTTGGTGGGCAGTGGGAGACATGGTTGAAGAGCAGTGGTGGTCCTTCTGAAGCTCAGTGGTAGGATATATTCTGAGAAGAAGGTTCCCCCTTCTAGCCCCCCACTCTTAAGATCATCAGAAAGTTGTAACCCTAGGCACTGAAGATATAAAACCTTCAGTCAGGACCATACTTTAGTGTCAGCATAATAAGGAACCCGTAGTTGGAAATACTTTCACAGCTTAATCCAAGCCTTGGTTTGTTGCTGGCAAGAGGACCAAACCAGTCACTAACTGCTACTCCCTCCTCCGAGCAGCCCAAACCCCGGGGGTTGATTTAAATGATCCATTATCCAAGATATCTTGGCTTTTGGATTTTTAAAGCCAAGCAGATCACATTGCCCAAACCGATCCATCCACATCCTGCCTGGCTGAATTTGAGGCAGAAGTAGGCCAAGACTAGGGCCATGCAAACAACAGTCTTTCTCTGCATTTGGAAAGGTAAATGGGGACATTTCTAAATGAGCTTGGATTTTGCAGTTCAAGGCTAGGGGGAACTACTTGCTGGCCAGTAGCTGTGGTCTCCCAGGTCTGAGCTAAAAGCCTCTTACAGTGTTGGTCTATGCAGGACCATCCTGATAGGCAAAACAGAACAAAGTAAAAGACTTTGAGATTTTCTTTAATTTAAAGGATGAGAATAAGCTGTGTTTTGAAGTGGCAGTCTGCTTTTCTCCTTCTTCATCATGATAATTTATTTCCTACGGAATAATATAGAAACTCAGGAACAGCTATCTCTGGGAGCCCAAAAACAATAAGCAAGAAACCTTCTTAAAGCTCCGAAATTTATCATGTTTGTGGGGGAACCGTCTTGGTAGAGGAATTACAGAGAGCTCAAACAATTTCTCCTGATTAAAGGTTACCCAAGAAGAAACTGCAGCTTCTTTGTCAGAGAAGCCCTTGGATGCGAGTACAACTGCTTGATTTAGGTTATGCATCTCTTATCTCTTCAGCCTTACTTGGACTTTTATACCCTTTTCCCTTGATGCCAGTGAATTTATGAGCATTTACCCCAGAGGAGGACCTCTTTTGCCCCTGAATTACTCCCTTGGAAAGGCTGAAAGGGATAAAACTGGCCTTTTTCCACTGAATCCAAAATCCGATGCTCATTTTATGGTAATGGGATTATGTGTACAGACAGCAGCTCTGATGACTCCTCTTTGTTGTCCTTGTAGCTGCATGGGAAAGACATAGAAGAAGCCATTAAAAGTGAAACATCGGGAGATCTGGAGAAGGCCTATCTCACTCTTGGTAAAGGAAATGTTTGGACAGCTTTCCTTTCTAGTTCTTATCTCCATCTGATACTAACTCTTCAGGGTATCGTGAGAGCTATTGAGGTAGTCCTAAACTAAAGCAAACATAACTGCCAGGCAAATGAGATCAAGGTTTAAACAATGATTTGAACCTAATGGTTTTAGAAATTAATCAGGCCACATCTGCTCTCCACACAGCTAAATTATATTGTCTCTAAAACAGTGTGACTGCCTCCACACTGTCCCCAGTGACCCCCACCCATGGCTGGGCATCGTCAGAAGTGTCCTATCTTGTCACTGCAAAAATCTGCAGGGACCATGATAGCAGCTTAGCTCTGTGGATGACTGTGATGAGTATTGGAGCCTGTGCCCTGCCTCTAGTTAATTCACTAGGGTAGATTTTATCTGTGTGGGGGAAGAGCATCTGGGATCTTGTTCCTCTAAGCTGCAGAGTAAGCAGCTGTCCCCAGAGTAGATGGGAAGGAGATCTCCAGAGGGACAAATCCTCGTTCTCATCGTGCCATTCTCCCTGTGGGGCAGCAGTGTATTTGATGCTAATCATTTCATTGTGTAGCATGCAGTGTATGCTCACATTTACACTGCAAGCCTCCTCCTTGCATACCAACAGGGGACCCATTGCAGAACAAAAGTCCTACTACTCCCTATGTCTGCCTAAGGACAATCCCTAAAGAGTTTTCTTTATTTCTGCCTTATTTATTTCCTTCTCACTGAAGACATAGTACAGAGTGTAAATACACAAGTATAAGGAGGCCTCTTACTGTTCTTCTCTAGTCAGCTCTGCCAAAGACTGTCCAGGTTACTTTGCTACACTTCTGTACAACGCAATGAAAGGAGCTGGGACTGATGAAGAGACCTTGATTCGCGTCCTCGTGACCCGGTCTGAGGTAGGGTACTCTGCGATCAGACATATTTCAAACTGCTTTGGGGAGAAGTACAAATTTATAGGGTACAGGGTAAGTCGTGGTAGACTGTGTGCTCAGTCAACCTGGTTTCAGACCAGTGTAGAGCCATGGATGTCAGTGCTCATACTCTGCTTTTGTATGTAGGCAACCCTAATTTTCATATTGCATCTGCTTTTGTTTTCAAAAGAAATGAACATGAAGGGAATTTCAAGTGAAGCCAACTTTACCTGGATAAATTGGCCCATGGGGAGATCTGGCCCCAGAAAGACCTTTATAAGTAAAACGCTAGTTAAGATAATGCTGATCAAGATAAAACAGCAGTTCTCAAATTGAGAATCACTTATAATTATATGCTGCCAATTCTTTGTGATTATAGCTGGGAAAAACAGATGGAAGAAGGAAGGGAGGAAGGAAGAAAAACAGAGAGCCAAAGGACATAATTACGATTTTAAAAAGCACAGCATTGCACAAGACATTTCAGATCCTAAGCAGCGTCTTTAAAACTTCCTTCCATATAAGCTATTCAGGTTGTAGCCCCAGGGCTGTTTCAGCCTTGATGTAGAGGAGTTGTTCACAGAGGAGAGATGAGAGGTGATCTGTATCGAATCTCAGTGATCTGTAGAACGAAAATTGGAAATTAGTCTCCAGGGTAGTCCCCCTGTGGTCCAGTCATGATAACATTTAAAATCCGTAATAATGAAGAACAGACCCATGCCCTGCATGCCTTTTCATGGGAAAACTCAAGACCAGGCATTTCACCTTCCTTCCATAGCTACCAGAAAATTACCTGGGGCTGGAAAAACACAACTATCATTTAGTCACACTCCTGGGTGTGATTCTTCCCTTTCTTGCCACCAAAGAGTGGCCTCGGGAGACCACAACCACCTGTGCTAGTTTGTGTAGTGCCAAAGCTGTGTCCTCATGGCACCACCAGTCCCTCTGGCGTGGCCATCTGCCCCTCCTACACCCCACCTTGCAGCTGATGCCCGATCACCACTCCATACGTGCAGCTGTACCTCATGACCAGGCATTAACCTGAAAGTCCTTCAAGGTTTTGGACCTCCTGCTTTCTCCTCCACTCCTCCCAGCGGACTTTGAGGGGCTTAGTAAAAGCAGGACATGTCATGCAAAGCACATCCCACTGTTCTAAAGAGGCTCTCCTTGTCTCCTCAGAGTGACCTGCCTGCAATAAAGGAGAAGTTCCAGCAAAAGTACAACAAGTCATTGGCTGAAGCTGTCCAATCTGATACCTCTGGAGACTTCAGAAAGTTGCTGCTGGCTCTTTTGCACTAAAAAGCTATCAAGAACAGAGAGGCATGCTGAGCAGCCACCTCTTGGTTAGTTTCCAAAGTAGCATCCAAAAATGTGGCATTAGCAAAAAGAAAAAAATCCAATTTATTTTCTTTCCAGCTGAGAAACACGTTGCCAAGTAATGCTGGACGTGAGGTTTATGTTACGGGTATCTTGCCAAATGTCCTTAAGCAATAAAGATATTTTACAAAACTAAATCTAAATTGACCCCTTTGTGTTTGCATATGTGGAGGAATCTTTATTTTCTGACATGATGTCTTCTGGGTAGTCTTCCTGTCTTTCTGCACTTCAGAAGATTATCCCTGTTCTTTCCCTGCATTTTTATCCCCAATCTGAAGGATGTTTTGTCATTTGCCAAGAGAAAATGGAGGCTAATTTCTTCTCAGCTCATTATCACACCTCTTTACACAACCTGGGAGCTGCGAATTAATGACTTCAGTCATGCCCTGAGTAAAATCTTGCTATCACCAGGGAAAGCTGTAATGATTTCTCTGTCTGTATAGTTGTCCTCTTAGCACAGGCACTTCCTAAATCATCCCGCAAAGGAGTTAAGGATTTGCAGTCCCCATCAGCACCAGCTCCTGTGATACAGTGCTGGAGCAGAGCTGGGCAGGAAGATGATCTGCATGAAGTGGAGCTGTCAGGGTGGAAAATGCTGTTCCCACACAAGCAGACATGTGTCTCAGGACTGTTGCGCGGCCTCCATGTGTATCTCTGTGAGTATCCCCTTCTTTCTTTTGAGTATATTGCACTGTGAGCAGTCAGGTCTTTCAGACCTACCTCCTCTGAGGTGTTTTGGCATCTGATTCCTATTGACAATATCTCTGAAGAACTGGGCCTGCTTCTCCCTGCTTCTATCAATGTCACAGCAGTAGTATGTAGACCCCCAGTTATAGTCTGTAAAGATGTGACGAGACAGATGGATAATGAGAAAGATGGAGGACTTTTCGGAATTATGATTGGTACATTTCACAGGTATAGCAATATTTACTTCCTATATTTAAGAGGTTCAGTCCTCCTTTGGCAACATTTCTGTCCATGTAAGAATGTCAGAGGCAGATACTGAACCTGAAATGAACCACGTGCTGCAGGATTTAACTTCATCAGAGGTGTTTTAATTTGCAGACCCAGACAGCATGGAGAAGTGTGGGATCTGCATATCTCCTCGTTGCTGTTGCCATGGGCCTCTTGTAACAGGAGACTCTAGAAAGAGATACATGAATAGTCTGCTTAGGTGTCCAGTGTTCTCAGAGATATTTTATCCATCGGAGGTCAGATTGCATGTTCAGTCTAAGATAAGCAGGCAGGTACCCGTTCTCAAATGATACGGTTTGGAGAAAAAGACGGCAGGTCTTTGAAACGCACATGGGGGAGCTGGCTTAGGCAGAGGATTTGTTTTAAAAAATTCGAACAAGGGTGCCGATAGCTACATCCCTGGATTCTGTGAAACCTCTGGAAGTTCATCACCTTTAAAACAACTATGTGCTTATTCAAAGTGAATGTGAAGTGCCTAGCTTTAGCAGCTAAATTTATTTTTGCCTGAAAACTATTTCAATTAACACTAATAGGTCATTCTGACTAAAGAAGGAGGAGTACAATTACTTTCATCTTAATCTTTCAGTCTTTGATTAAAGGTTGGCTCGCAATCAGACCAAAAGCTAGAGTTCATACCCACACATCTTGGGTTAAAGTAAATGCTGAATTACATGCTATATTTATCTGTCTGTATATCTTTTCCTACACAGTACACACATTGATGTCAGTGAAGCTGGTTACTTGCTCTCTCCAATGCTTCAAGATTAAAAATTGTCCCCCTGCCACTATAGTAAACATTGTAAATTCAAAGTTAGGGGTTCAAACTTCAAGTTCAGATTTCAAGCCTACAGAATGAGTCCATTACCCAGTCTATAGAACCACAACCAGAGGCAGATTAGATCAGAATCAACTATCATACCAATGTGAATGACAGCTGTGAGATAGTGCACTCCGTGAAATCATTTGCTGAGCGTCTAATTAGAAGATGCATCTGTTGCAATGAGTAATGCAATGGTTGCAGAGAAATGAGAGGGAAGGATCACAAGAGTATCTGGACTTCGAAAAATAGGAAAAATAGGGGATACTTGGCAGCTAATAGCAGACAGAAATTAGCAGACTTTTACACAGGCAAGAGGTAGCAGCCACAAGTTGCAACAAAAGAAATTCTTATTGGATGCACAGAAAAAAAAAAGCTGCACTGTGAGTGTGGTTTAGCACGGGAGCAAGTTGTCCAGAGAGGTTGTTGAAATATCCATCTTTCGAAAATGCCCAAACTCAGCAGGACAAGGCCCTGAGCAACCTGCTCTAAGTTAGAGGCTAGCCCTGCTCTGAGCAAGTGGTTGGACTAGGTGAGATCCTGATGTCCTCCCCAAACTGTATCTTCCAATGACTCTAGAAGAATCAGAGTTTGTCATCAGGAGTCCACAGATTTACCTCACTGGAAAGAATAAATGATATCTAACTCCTGGGAGCATGGAATAGACCTTTGCATTTCTGATACCTTAAGTAGCATGAAGAGCTTCATTTATTGCCGTATGATTGTTTCCCGGTTCCACGTAATCACAGTGGATTAAGTTTCACAATGTCTTCCACACTCCTTACCTGTTTGGGGAGTTTAATTGCCCTTGGTGAAGCTGAAATGTCAACCAAGAAACTAGAAGATGGAGTCAAAAGACTGTTTTCCAAAACAGTGAAGCAAATAGTGAATCCACACTCTGCCCCGGGCAAGCAGACAGGAATTGGGAGCATCCAGGTGCATCAGAAACCAGGTGCAGGGCCATGGGGTAGCATTGCCTTCACCAGCAGGGCTGACACTTGTGTGGTGGGTGAGAGCTGCAGGTGTTACCAGCTGAGTAATGTCTGGGCACGTTAGCTTAGCAGAAAAGTTCCTCTCCATGACCCAGGCCTGTCTATTTTTTTAGGAACGCTGCTTGGCATGAACTAAAATGTCACCGAAAAACAATTTAACCACATGGATCCTCACAGCGCTAGGGCCTCTTCTCCAGACGCGTAATACAGACATATCTCTTCTCGCACTCTCACTGTGTATATTCTTATATACATTTATGTGCGCATCTAAGTATGTGATACATAAATCTAATAATCCCCACCACACCAGTCTTCCTTTCTGCTCCCATTTTTCCTTCCCCGCTGTCTTACAACAAACCAAATGGTTCGTGCACCCATCTCACCCCACAGGACCCATGGACCAAGCTTTCCGCGCTGCCTGCGCACACTCTGCCAGGCTGCCCGGAATCCCCGAGATGCTGCTGGCTCTGCCAGTGTGGAGCTAACAGGCTGGAGACGTACCCATGGCCAACTGCCACTCACGGCAGGTCGTTAACTGGGATCCCTCTAAATGTCTTATTTTATAACAAGGACTATCAAGCCTGTTTGTTGTTACCTCTTCCAGTTATATATTATAATATATAAATATTATAATAAGGGGTATTTTTTCTTGTTTCCAGTCAATTTAGACTGAATTTTTGGAAGGGCAAGGACTCTCCTGATACTGGCAGAGCTGATAGCCAACAGGGCAACCCCCATAATACTGTGGGGTCTTTGCCTCAAACACCCTTTTTCTTCCTCCTTCGTATTTGTTCTTTTCCACCTGGACTGTAATAGGATCACGCGTGTGTTTAAGGAGCTGCCTGACATCACCAGCCCTCTCCGCGTCCCTGTGTGCTGCCTGATTAGATTACTGCTTTTTTTCCGCCCTGCTGCTTAGCACATGGTAATAGCAGTTTCATCATCCCATTACACAGAGGCATAAGAAGAGCTTCTCCAGGTCAAATCAAAGGTCTGACCATGCTAACTCCAAAACTGAGCAACACCACAGAAACAGGGTAAGTATGCAGCATTACACAGAGTGGCCATTCCTTGGTAGGCTCTTCCAGTTCCTAGAATATATTTTGAAAAATATTTCTAGTTTATTTATAAAGGCAATCCTACATAGGCATTTGCTGCAGGTTCAGCTGCAGAACTAGATTGAAAAAACTATGATCAGCAAAATAGCTTGTATAACTATGTTGGTAAGTGCCTTGCTGAGGGGCCACTTGGTTGGCAAGGCGTTGAAGAAGAGTGAGCCGCAAAGCAGGCTCCTCGTCGCACCGGCGTCTCAGCCCTGAGTTAGCACAAACCCACGAGCAGCTATTTAATCAGCACATGCTGTCCCCTGGGCTCGAAGGAGTTTGCACAACCATGCCAAGCCCTCCCATGCTGAGACCTTCCAAGCAACTGTCACATTTATCAGTGTCTAAAGCAGTGGAACATCCTATCTACCCTTTCCCAACCCCATAAAACAGCATCGTTAGTGAAGTCAGACGGCATCATTAGTTTCTTTAAGGGTTAAAAAAATAACCCACGGCAACTGCCAAGAAGAGGCCAGAAGAGCTAAACAGCCAGTGAAGCGTTAGAGCCAGAGCAGAGATATGGAGCTAAATCAATCACTGCAGCGCGCCACGACGAGAGCGTATACAGAGAGCGCGCGAGCGGGCGGTTTGTTTGGGTAGCTGGTGTTCTCTGGCGCGGAGCGAGAACTTCTCCTTTGGGTTTCTAATGCCACTCTAAATATTTATAGCGAGATCCTGGCCAGCTGGGAGGCAGCGATGGCAGGGCCTGCAGCAGGGACGGCTCGCTTGCCCCTGTGCGTCTTTTTGGTGGGGAAAAAGCTGCCCGTGGCCGTGTTTGCCTTAAAAGCGACTCCTCAGCTGGAGGGAAGTCCAGGGGGGCCTTTCTTTGGCCTCCTGAATCTTACTAGGCCAAGGGTGCTCGCTTATAGGCTCACACACACTCTGCACATGAAGGGAGGAAGCTACAGCCTCCCTAAAGGTTTGCTGAACAACCCCACCCAGTGTCTAATACAGCTCTGGAAGGTCCAGGCTTTGGCATGGAGCCATCACAGGTCCTGCTGCAGACCCTGGACCTTCTGCCATGGCAGATGGGGCCCAGCGGGGCTGCAAGAAGTTTCCAGTAGCACTCGGAGGGGATTTAGGCTTCTCATCATGGACATTCGCACATGCCTAATGCAGATTCCTGCATGTGCTCCAGGCAGCTGAGCACTTACAGCCAGCAAACTGGCTTACTGGCAGTGCCCAGCAAGCCATTCACCTGCCCAGGTGCTGGTGGAACTTACTTGTGAGCCAGGTAACTCTCTGCACTTCCCTGCATAGCCTAGACTGAGCGTGATGGGAGCTTGGACACCTTGCTCACATTGCACTGAGACCCCGTGGAGATGTCACCCCTGGTGTCTCCTTAGGATGGAGACACAGTCTGTCCCACCAGGCCCCCTGGAAACCCTTCTTTGTCCACGAAAATATATGACAGCAGTTACCTAATGCCTGCCGCTTCGGACTGTTTACAGGCTTCTCGAGTTCCCAGGCACTTTAGGACAGGGTCCTGTTGCTGTTTCCAAACGGCCAGCCAGGACTTTTATAAGTGAACTTTCCTCTCTGTGTCTATTTATTATATGTAAACATTTGCCAGAAAAACACCCCTCCGGGCATGCTCAGTCCCAGGCAGGACATTGCAAAAGGCAGCAACTGAGTCACACGTGACAGTGTTGAGAAGTCCATATGCGCCTATTCTTAGTGCAGGAATGTATACAATGCCCCCCCCCCGGCGCATGGCTCCGTCACAGAGCTCCCGAAAGCAGCAAAAGGGATTTCAGAATAAACACGGCCAGAAATCGCCCTCTATGAATCACTTTCTTACCTACCGAAAGAAACGTCCTGTGGGTTTATAGTTTTTTATGCAGTCTCTAGCCATGGAAAATCTCACCAGGGAATAAGCGGCAGAGAGTAAGTGAAGGACAGCAGAAGGTAAACGCTTCTACCGTATAATTTCACTGCAGGCTGAGCTGCTAGAGATGAATATAGATACTCATCGGATTGCTCTGCCTGGCACTTAATTTAGTCATTGTGTGTCTGATTAACATAAAAACAAAACACAGCTAAGCAGCGTTGATAAATAACCCTTTTAATGCAGATTCCCAGTCTCTAGGGTTTAGTTTGCCCTGCTGCAGAGCTGGGCTCTGCCAGATTTACATTCTTTGGGAATGACTAACTCTAGGGGAAAGAGGCGCAAGTTACTAAACTGCTAATACTTTAAAATAGCGAATAAATGTCTCAGCGCATTTATTCAGTGTGATTGAAGTGAACGAACCAATTGCTTCAGCCTTTCAGCTTTCATCCCAAATCAGCAAGATAGCTTCAGCGCTTTCGCTTCTCACCAGGGATACAGGCAATACTGACCTCAGAGTTATAACCTATCTGATAACTTCATAGAAAATTTAAAAGGGTCTTAGTGACCTTTTAGCTTCTTTATTACTTTCCCACTGTGCTTAACCCATGTTCCCTTTTCATGCGTAACAGTGAGCGAACATTTAGAGCAACATCAAAGTCCTGATTTGTTCCCTCGGAGCTGGACAGTTCAATAAAAGCTGCTAAGAATTTGCTTTTTCTGCCAAGCCCAGAATTCATCTCTCTCCTGTTTTGCTATGGAGGAAGGATCCACTGAGGAGCTTCTCTTCAAAGACCAGGACTTCTCCTCCGAACTGCTGAGGCAGCTGAATGGGCTGCGGCAGAGTGGGGTGCTCACTGATGTTACCCTCTGCTCTGGAGGCTTTGAAATCCCCTGTCACCGAAACGTGCTGGCCTCCAGCAGTCCCTACTTCAAAGCGATGTTCTGTAACAACTTTAAAGAGAGTCGCCAGGCTAAAGTCATCCTGAAAGGTGTTGACTCCGAGATTTTGTATCAGATTATCCTCTACGTTTACACAGGGGAGATTCTGATATCCCCTGAGAATGTCCTGTACCTCTTGGAGGCTGCGTCCATGCTGCAGTATGCTAAGTTGTTCGAGGCCTGTTCTGCCTACCTCCAAGACAAGCTGACTCCTGACAACTGTCTCAGCATGATAAGACTGGCAAAAATCTTAAACTGCCAAAGCCTTAATAAGAAAGCCAAGGCTATGGCTCTGAAATGCTTTCCTGAGGTGGCCTCTTCCGAGGACCTAAAGGACCTTTGTGCTCTGGAGCTCAGTGACTATCTTGGGGATGACGAGCTCTGTGGGGAGGAGGAGCAAGTCTTTGAGGCACTGATGGTCTGGATCCGACATGACCCCCAAGCAAGGCAAGGCTACATCCAAGACTTGTTCAAGAAGGTTCGGCTTCAGTATGTCCATCCTACTTTCCTCTTCCACTTCATCGCCAGTGACTCCCTCGTTCAGTCCTCTCCCACGTGCAGGAGCATTCTGGAATCGGCCCGGAGACACATGTTTTCCTTGTACAGCACCAATGCACCTGACATCAAGCCCATGTTGCACGTTCCCCGGCGGTACTCTAGCCAGGAGTTCCTCATCATCATTGGCGGCAGGAAGGACAACCAGCAGACAACGAGAGATGTCTTGCTCTATGATGACAAGACCGGCCAATGGCTGAGCCTTGCCAAACTGCCAATGCGCCTGTACAAAGCCTCTGCGGTGAGCTTGCACAGCAATATCTATGTGCTTGGAGGAATGCCTGTAAGCAATAAGAAAAGCCCAGTCAGTGACAATATTTACATTTACTCCCTCAAACTCGATCAGTGGAGGCTAGTTGAACCCATGTTAGTTCCGCGATATTCCCATAGAAGCTTGGCATACAAAAACTTTATTTTGTCATTTGGTGGAATCGGTGAGAACCAAGAAATCCTGAATTCTGTGGAAAGATATGACAGCATCTACAACACCTGTGAGAGCATGGCAAGCATGCCCGTCGCCGTCCTTCACCCTGCCGTTGCTGCCAAAGATCAAAGAATCTATCTCTTTGGGGGAGAAGACATTATGCAAAATCCTGTCCGGCTTATACAGGTAACAGCCAGTCTTGTTTGTCCTGGTAGTTTCTTCTCAAGGATTCAGCGGCTCAACTCCCAGCAGAGGAAATCAAAGCCCAACAGTGAATTAAGGTGGTTGTGATTCACAGGCAGCAAGAGGCAGGACACATTGAAACATTTATTTGAGGAAATTTTGTGTGTAAGGAGCTGTGATTGCAGTTCCTTATTATTCTCCAGAGTGACCTGAATTATTTTTCAGGGAAAAGTCCTCGGCCAGCTTTGTCAGAGGCACTTTTTCCACCACTGAGGCCTTAGGGCTCACGGAGTCAGCGCTACAACCAACACTATGACCAAATCGAAGCTTAATCCACATGCTTAGCTCAGTACCCACAGTATTCTCACTTAATCAGTGATTCCCATTAGGCAGGTATGTAGCTGAGTTGGGGTCTGAGCTGTACATCTGTTCACTCGTAGCAAGAGCAAAGATGCCAGTTTGTGATCATTAGAGTGATTAGATTCTCACTCATCAAAGAGCCAGGACTCAAACTGACAGTTTTTTCACATAAACAGTTGTTTTAAAAATGTGCCTCTTACCACATGTTTCTGGCTCCCTGCCTTCCTTCAGTGGTTAAACTATGTTAGGAGGAAAAAAAATATATGAAATCCTTTCTTATCTGATTTGCTGCTTTAGCAACATTGTAATGTTACTTTCCCATGTGAGTGTTTTTGACTGGTTTGGGTATTTTAACTAAGAGGATCATTAAAGACGAGGATGGCAGCAAGCACGTGAGCAACACATGTTCATGACGATAACAGCATTTAATTATCAGGGGGAAGGAAATGTACATATTGTGGGGAGATGTCCTGGAGATATCTGGTATATTAAGTGGATGATAAGGCATAAAAGTTTGTGTTGCCCAAATACAGATGACTGAATGATCATCACCTGGCAACTGCTTTTTCTCCCACATAAATTGGTGATTTAGATATCATCTCAATCCCACCAACAACTCACCAATGCACACCAGCCACCAGCACAAGCAGAGCAGCAGGGCAAGCAGGAGGGTTGCCAGTGGAGCTAGATAAAACTGAGGTTTATTTACGTGGAAAGTTGGTATGCCATAGGCTCAAGCAGGAACACACAGAATAATTGGGAAGTGAAAGCAGGTGACCAGCATTTTGAGAGAGCATCAACCTGGAGTTCAGTGATTTAATGGCAACACAAAGATTTTCAGCCAAGAAGCTTCTTTCTGACAGATGTGCTCTGCCCTACTGTGTGCTAGCATCCCCTGGGCCAACGAGCCCAGAGAACTAGAATGTCTTCCAAGGGGACATATTAGGAGAAAAAGGAGGTAAATTCTCAGATTTCCAGCCGCTCAACCCAGTGGATTTTATTCATTAAGACAGAAATCAGAACCATAAGTTTCTCTGTAACTACAATTGCCAGTTAAAATGCAGCATAAACAGTATCTTTATTTATTTGTGTAACTACAATTGCCAGTTAAAATGCAACATAAACAGCTGTGGGTGTATCTTTATTTATTTATCAGGTTTACCATGTCTCCAGGAATATGTGGTTTCGGATGGAGACCAGAGTGGTGAAGAACGTGTGCGCACCAGCTGCTGTGATTGGGGACCAGATTATCATTGTGGGAGGTAACAGCTCTATTTCATCTGCGTCCTGTCCGCTCGTGCCTTGCTCCCATGAGGTTTTGTGTGGGGAGAGGTGCTGCTTCCCAGCACCGTGGTTGTGCTCCTGGGCTGGGCTGTGCTGCCCTGCATAGCTCAGGAATATTGGGAATAGAGCAGGAAGGCACCCAGCCTCTCATGTGGGCTCAGCACCCCGGAAAAGATGGGGACAAGTTCTCCACAGGACATCAACCTACTCCCGTAGCAGGGCCCATACAGACTCTGGGAGGCGCACAGGGCGGGTATTGGGGAAGGACCAATTCAAGTTTCTTCTCCAGCAGAGGAGGGGATGAAGCCAAAGCAGTGAGGAGGCACAGGAGGCTCTCGCCCTCCCCTGCTGACTCACAAGCTGGGCCTCCTTAACTGCTCTTCTTGGAAGTGCCTGGGGTGGAGAGTGGAGCTATGGCCAGGAAAGGACATCTGCTGCCCCAACAGCTTTAGGTGGATGTGGCTGATGACTCCTGCCCCTGCTTCCTGGGGATGACCATGAAACGTCCTGAGTGGGACGTGAAATACCATACCCTGAGGAGGTAACTTTTTAGTGTTGTACTCAAGTGTAGCCTCTGCCAACTGTATTTTGGTGGCTCACATCTCTGTGGTAGTTTGGCATCTCACAGTCTTTAATGAAGCTACCCTAATCACATGTGGACAACAGTAAGACCTGTGTTATATTGCTCAAGGAAGAAAGAGGCATAGAGAAGTTAGGAGAACTGAGCAGAGAACTGAACCTGAGTCACAAAGGGTTCAAATACACCATTTTTCTACTGCAAAAGGCCACTGCTACTCATTGCAACAGGAACAGGGGAAGCTTGAGTCCAAATTTCAAGACTATCAGGCCTAATGTGGCAGATTACTCTGATATCAGACCACAGTGTCCAGAATACTATATTTTCAACTTTTTATCTTCACGTGCTTTTATCTGAAAGGCCTGTATTGACCAAGTATTCTGCTGGTGAACTTAAGTTGTCAATTTCTTTCATTTATTTAAGAACAACAACAAAAATTCATGTTAACTCTTTCATTAACATCTTTCGTTTAGCTTTACAGCAGAGAGATTTACCATGGTCAGAATTTACTTACCAGCTTCCATGCCAAAACATTGGCCAAATGTTCTTGGTTTGTCAACAACCAAAAAAAAAAAGTCAATGATTTATATTAAAAATAGATTTCACCACCTCTTTACATGACTGCTTATATCGCAATAAAGGGGAATGTACTGGCCTCAGCAAGAGAGGCCTTGATTTTCACTAGAGAGAATATTCTCAAGGCCTGCAAAACATATGGCCCAAAGCAGTTTGCTTGCCTTGGCACTCGATTATCTACAGGGATTCATGCACAAGTTACTGCTGGGCAATTCACTATCTCCCTTTCTTCAGGCCGTGACCCCTGTAGCAGCCCTTACCTCTCAGCCGATGTGAGGTTACTTTACCCATCAGTGGAAGATCTGGGCAGTTGGGTTACAGTCCTCCTGGCTTGCACAGCGCTGGAGTACAGGACATGGCAGTGGGACAGCCCTAACAGCACCCAACTCCCATCTGTAGACAGTAATGACAACTCTACCCCAACATTGCAGCGTGGTTCCCTACCTCTGTATCAGCTCCGTTCACTGGGTTCTTGACTACCAAGGTGATATGAGGCAGAGAGAGTCCACAGAGGAAGGGAAGACAGACATTCTTGTGACACATCATCACTTCTCAGCTAAATTAGATGTCTTAATTCTGCCAAATTATTTACCAGTATAGTAGGTTGTATTGAAGACTGGCAGAAAACACATTATTATTTCTCCTGTTGGCCATAGACTCTAATTCCTCTCTGTTTCTTCCACCTCTGACTTCGCATTTAGGGTATACACGGAGAATAATTGCTTATGATACAAAGGACAACAAGTTTGTTAAATGTGCAGACATGAAAGACAGACGGATGCATCATGGGGCCACTGTCATCAAGAACAAGTTGTATGTCACAGGAGGTCGATGTCTTACTGCGGACAATGTTATCGAAGACTCGGATTCGTTGGACTGCTATGACCCAGAGACTAACACATGGACCCCAAAGGGAAAACTGCCACACAAACTCTTTGACCATGGGTGCCTTACTCTCCAGTGTGTTCCCTATTCCAAATTTCTCTAAAAGGAGTTTTGTATTCCTCTGCAAAAAGGACCCAGCTTGCTCTGCATTGAGCACAGAGGGAATCCTAACAGGGTCCCACAAACCCCTGTTCATGCAGGAATCAGAAGGGCTGGGCATTCCCCAAGGGTTCTGCTGGAAAGGTCATGATTTTTGTGTGCGTGCCGCATTCAGCTGACAGTGTTGCATGGAGTCCAGCCCTGAGGCCTTACACAGCATCTCAGAAGAAAATGGGAGAGAAATATTAAGTAAGAAACCAATGCAGGATTTTGCCTTGTGCAAGTTTTACACTGAAAGGTGACTAAGAATGCTGGTTTCTCCAGAGAAAATAAGATCTGGGTGATCTGCGTTTGTGTTAGTGTGCAAAGAAATGGAACTGCTCATCTGTGTGTCACAGCCCTTTGCTGCTCAGTGCTGACCAAGCTTTTCATTTTGAGCTGCAGGAACATTTGGAATAGGAAGTCCCAGGCTGAAGCCCTGTTCTTACCATGAAGGCCCAAGTAGCCCACCCAGTAGTAATTATATGGATCAGCTATGGTAGTCATAAAGCAGGAAAAATATTTTAATATTTCAAGCATCAAACTAGAAATTAGCAAAAGCCTGAAACTTTGATCTCATTTCTCTCATGTTATAGCAAAATGCAGATTTGAGTTTTCGAAGCTACCTCTCTTTCCTGGTGCAGGGGAGACAATCTCTCCAAAGATTTTTGTTCCATCTACCAGCTCTTTAAAGGAGCAGAAGGGAAGATGGAAATGAAGGTTGTACCTTTTTTTCCTTTTTTTTTTTTTTGTAGGGATCTTGTTTTGTGTGGAGCTTGCTGCTTTCTTTGCATCAGGGAAAGCACTGAGGGTGGTTAGGAAGCCTCTAGGTTGGTGAAGTTCCTGAAAGCTGAAATAACAGAAGTATCACAGTGGGGAAGTGGATGTAAAAGAGAAGAGGTATTTGGGAGGAACAGTTTTTTGAGTTTTTTTTTCCTCCTTTCTCCTCTCTCCAAACCACTGGAAAACAGTGATGAGAGAAAGCCAGTGACAGGAAACCAGCTTTCCAAGAAGAGCATGTCTAAGTCTGCCACTTGGCAAAGCAGCTCTGGCTCTACCAGTATTTTTGTGGGGTTCTGCCACTAAGTGCATATTTTCAAAGGGAGGGGATTAATCATCAGATACTGAACAAGCTGTGAACTGCTGTCAGGTCACCAGGCTTGGTACGACTGCTGAGGCAGCAAGGAGCTTTTATGATAGCACTGGTGACCACCATCTGTAGGAAGGTCAGCAGAAACTAAACCCTTTTCTCCCAGTACTTGAAAGAGAGGGACTTTTCCAAGGGTGCAGGATGGCATGAGGAAACCATCCTGGGCCCTCCTCTTCTCTGGCAGCTGCACATCCACGTGGCCATGACCACAGCGCAGGACACAGACTCCAAGCGCTCGCTGTGGAGCGAACACTCCCTCTCGTAAATCGTGGGAGCAGAAGGTCGACAAAAATAGTCCACAAAGTGGGAGGCTGGGAGAAGGAATTGCATATTGACTGCTGTTTTAGCAATGCAAAATAAAATCGTTATGGTTGTTTGTATGAGCTTTGTGTTCAGGAGTCCCCATTGTTCCCTTCGCATTGTTGATAGTGGGAATTGTTTTTCTACCAGAGGTTTTTGCCAGGGTTTCCTTCTAAGGATCTGAGTAAACCGTCAAAAAATGAGTGGGAACCCAAACTCATCTCCCAGCTCAGAAGCCTTTGGCTACGATTCCCTTCTGCCTTTCAGTCTATATAATCATCTTATCCCATGCAAAGCAGGGCTAAATCACAGCACTCGCCAGATTGGACTGGAGCAGTGATTCATTCTGTTTCTTCGGAGGCCAGCTCCAGCTCTCTGGAGAAAAAAGCTTTGTCATGGCCAACTATGGAAAGTCTGCCCGGGGGAGATGTTTATTCCTAACCCCTTAGTGCTGCCCTCCTAAACTCGTTCCTGTTTTGACCCCCCTCACAGCTCCATAACTCCATGAGACGCCAGTTGCTGCCATACATTTTAGCTGACACTGATTTCTGCCAAGCTTGTGACTGTACCCAGAGCTGATGGAAGAAGCTCTCTTGGGGTCATAACCCTGTGTTTGCAAACCATTGCAGCAGTGAATGATTTATGCTTGGAAGCAAACAGATTTCTTAATTCCCGTATCATGTAACTAACAATTTTCTCGGTATTTGTACTGAGACCAAATAGTACCCTGCATGGCTGTAGCTGGGCAGGAAGCAGAGTGCAAGGAACAAGCACAGCCACAGTGCAGTGTTCAGCCAAGCATCCTCCCTCCATCCCCCAGGGATCCCTCACGTCACCCTCAAGTACTGCAGGCTGCCAAGGGCTCTGGCCAGCTCTGCCAGTGGCTGCAGCCCTCTGCTCCTTCTCTTCACAAACTCATCGTCTAGTGCCCGTAATTTAAGGAAATTGGGTTCCCTAGGTGGAAAAAAAAAAGAAGAAAAAAAAAAGAAAACCCTGGGCTTGCTGAAACCACATTTCTGATAGACATCTATTTTGTGGCTGGTTTTGTGGATTTTGATGTCCAGGAAGCTGCAAATCTTTACTGAAGCTTTAGGGCCCTTTGCAAAAAGGGTTGAAGTCAGACAACAACAGAGCCAAGCATCACTCAGTTTTCAGAGCACAACAGTTCCACAGAGCTCCAGGACAGGGTATACACCCCCTCGGAGGCAGCAAGAATTGATGCTGCCTTGATATTCAGGTCTTGGTCACCACCTGGTCCACCCACAACTGTAGCCTTGGGTGATTTGTGGTTGTCATAGCTAGTTGTGCTGTGGATGAAGGCACTTGTAGCAAGAGTCAACCAAGGCACCCCTTTCTCCATAGGAGCTGGAGGGGACTTTCCCAACCAGGGTCTAAAAGTCTAGCTCTATCCTAAGAACTTTCTGAATCACCACACACTTTCCCAGAGGTGTCATCATCCTAATATGTAGCATTCAGGGCGCTCACTTACACGGGAATTTCCCATCAGAGAACAGCAAGGTTACTCACAAATGTGATCACAAATTCCATGCGGAGGTGAGTATTTAATGCTCTTTGTTTATTAACCATGGAAGCCAAGGAAAAGAGGGCTTTCAGAAAGCGTGGTCATCTTGTGGGTGAGGTTTCGGAGAAGCTGAGCAGCTGCTGCTCCTTTGCGAGTCAGGGAGGGCTGTCAGTGCTCATCACTTTTGAGTCCTCATTTGTGGGTGTCCTAAGGTGATCACTAGATCCGGGAGACCATAGGATGGTGTGGTTGAAGGCAACCTGCAGTGTGGGACAGTGCCCTGGTCCCTTGTGCTAGGTACTTGTCTAACACATGGAAAATCTCTCATGAAGGACATTCTCTGACTTCTCTAAGTAATGCAGTGTATTTGAGCACTTTATTAGTCTTATCTTAAATCATCTTTGCTGCCCATTCAGCTATCCCTGTGAAGTTAGAAGGCAATTGATTACCCTCCTTGGTATCATGTATGTATGTGTGTATATATATATATATATATATTTACATCTTTAAAGATCATTAACATGTTTCAGATTCTGTAGATAAACAAACTCAGCCCTTTTTTCAATCTTTCCTCAGAAGTCATGTTTTCTAGTGCTTTGATAGTTTTTGATGCTCTCTTCTGGACAATTTCCAATTTATCAGTATCTCTTTTTTATTTAAGTATAGTGCTCTGGCTCAGTCCCACAGTGCTGGGAAGAGTGGAATAAATCCGCTCTGTGTCTTACCTGCAGCATTTCTGCTTACACGTCCCAGAAGGGCATTTGCTTTTTGCAGCAGCAGCAGATTGCTGATTTGGGTTCGGTTGTGCTCAGGTCTCAGCATTGAGAAGCGCTTGCAAGTCTGAGCAAGACCCAGGATCTCCCAGGGTTATGTCTTAACTCCATCTTTACTTTTACTCTGGTCAGGAGCCAGATCCTGCAGAAAACAATGCGTCTTTCTACAGGCTTTGGACCAGGCTTTGGACCAGGGCTTTGGACCAGGGCCTAATTATTGTGTTCTCAGATGGACTCAGCTCTAATTCTATAAATTTTCACAGCAAATACTTTATATTTGAGTCATTTTTATCCTAGGGAAAAAGGTTCAGGCACAAAATAGAGAAGAGAGTACTTTTTCTTCCAAACTTTCTCCCGTCTCCCTTGCTGCAAACTCCGAGCTGAATCCCACTCCACGGACAGCTTGTGCAGGCAGTTTTGCTTTGATCTTAGCAAAGAGCTTTGTAGGTTAAGCCTGTGTTTTTTCACTGTGGCCGTTCATCAAACAATACAGGCCGTTCCAAGGCAGCCTTTTTCTTGCGCAGTAATTTGTTTATAACTATAATGCATTTCCTGCTTCTTTTTGATTAAACACACCTGACAAAGTAGGCAAGATGTTGATGCAGAAATAAACGGGTACTCCAAGTTCATCACTTTGTTAGTCCTTTTTTTTTTTCCAGATGTCAAGGAGTTCACTGCAAGGTGAATCCTCTAGTTAAGAAGGAAACAACTGAAGAGAGCATATATGAATAGTGTACAGGGTAACTTATCCCTGGCATTGTTCCTCAGCCAGACCAGAGAGTCATTAATAATTGACAGCAGCTAAAACAATCCCTTTTTAAAAACATGAACATCTATCTTTTTTTCCAGCTGCTTGAAAGCTCCCACACAAAAGTTAGAGGGTCATATTCACCATGTCCCAAATGAGTTTAATTCGGAGATGCTGTTTGCGCTAGCAAAGGATGTGGGACCTTCCAATTAGCAGGCTGTTAATAATGCCTTCATGCACTATTTCTGATAGCTCATCCAGGGTGCGATGCAGCACAGCAGGCTGTGCAGGAATAGTTGTTATCTCAGACTCTGCGTTTGCTACCGAAGTCGACGAGGCTCCTCGGGATTTATGCTGCAGCACGGAGAGATTGATCTGGCCTCTTCTGTTTATTGAAGTTTCCAAAATAGTAGCAGTGTAGTGAGGAACCCAACTGCTCTGTCACTCTGCAAGTCACACACAGGCTCCAGCTGCCGCTTGTCACTTCTGTTAGTGCTGCTCTTTGTTTTCCTGTGCTCCCT